CCCCCACCACCTGAGGCCCACTCTGGGTCTGAGCCGGGGACAGTCCACATGGACATGTCTGTGGTAGGTGGACTTTGAAGGGATGTGTCTAATCACCTGCAGCCTGGGGAATGCCCCATGGTGCCCACTTCTACAAAGCTTCGGAATGTCTCCTCAAAGCAACAGCTTTTTATCCCTTCTCCTTTAATGGTTAATATCTACTCAGCAGAAAGTTGGGCTGGCCCTAATTTCCTCTTGACCCCACAGATACCTCCTCTTCACAAGCCAGATGTGTCTGCTAATGATCAGCTCCCCTCTCCGCCAGCTCCCTCTGTTTTCTGGCAAGAGGGCTGGAGAAAGAGAATCACATCTCTCCTATGGAAGGACAGGCTCTCGAGACACTGGTGAGCTGGGAAGTAACTTGCCAAAGCAAAGGCTCAAGACTTGAACCTTCTCTTCTGGAAGGCCTTGTACACCAGCATTGATAGGTGTTAGGAGAGCTGATTTGGGGGCCAGAGGACCAGGTTGAAGGTGTGGAGCCATTATGTGAGTTAGGAATGCTCCAAGTCTTATGAGAAGTTGGATTCTAGTAGTCTTTAACATCCATTTCCCAGGGCCACTGATGTGCCACCATTCTCAGTGTGCAATGGCCCCTACTTTACATACACACAAACGGAGAACATTAGATAAAGCCCCACGATGTGCTGCCTCAGTCAGTCTTGTGTCCCCAGTGCCTGCCATAGGCTGACACATGGTAGGTGTTCAGGAAACATGTCATATGAACAATGGCTTTATCCATTTGGATAAGGAACAGAGGTTATCTAGCACCACCAGAAAATGAGGTTTTCCTTTTGTGCAAATGGCCACCGAACTGAGGCTTTACCCCCTACAGACATAAAGCCCTAATTTCTTTCTTTTTCTTTTCTTTTTTTTTTTTTTNCCCGGGGCCTTGATGTTATCAGCACCGCACTCTCCCGAGTGAGCCACGGGCCGGCCCCAAAGCCCTAATTTCTAAATGGTACTGGATGTCTCCCTGTCTTCAAATGTCTTGCTTCTTGACTGGGAAATCAGCATCAGTGATGCCTTGAGCCTCTAGCATGAAGCTGCAGGATCGCCCTGGTGTCAGGGTCAGCTAGTCACTTCCCCAGGACTGTCAATCTGATGTCAATCAAAAGACTTCACTTTTGTACCTTTGTAAGACTTTTAACATAAATCCACAAATGAGAAATATACAGAAATCAGAAAACATATCACCACACAAATAAAGTACAGTATACGTTACCCAAGGTTGCTAACTCATCCACATGACTTTTTACTTTGTAATGTTAGAAAGGAGCTTTTATGCCTCTTTCCTCATGATGGGAAAGCAGCCAAAGTAAGAACCCCCCTTGCTGCCGGGTAGCCTGAAGGGCAGAGGGCAGGGATGTTGAACAACCCTGCCAGAAGCCCCTGGAGTCACCGTGGAGCTCTTAGGGAAGGAGAGCGAGGGTCGCTGCAGGGCCATGAGGGGTAAAAGGGCCCAGATTAGCACACCTCTGGTGCCTGGAGGATTCAGTCCAGGGCTGAACGTGTTACAAGCCTTCTTAATTCTTTCAAATCAAGGTAACTTTTTTAAAAAATCAGGTTTTTTAAACCGCCAAAAGGTGTAGATATAGTTACTGATTGCACCTCCCCTGGGATGGAAGCACATCATTTAGAAGCCTGCTCGCCTCTTCTTGCTGTGTGACCATGGCTCCCTGCATCCTCCTGTAGAGCCTGAGTGTGGTCATCAGTAAGCTGGAAGTGGTCCTTACCTTGTGGGTTTGTTGAGGATCCAGTAAGACAGTGCTCCGCAAAGCACCAACGCAGGGCCTGGCAGGGAAAAGGCACCAACAATACTACAGTAATTTGCAGGTAGGAACTGAAGAATTGTGGGGGGGCATAGGGGGGAATTGGTAGAACTGTGAAGTGATAGTTTCTAAACAGATTTCACATCCTGAAGTCAGAGGTAGTTCAGAGAGTGAGAGCAAAGAAAATGGAAAT